TTCATGCTGTTCATCTCGCCCTGATCTCGTCCCTTCCTCTTCTGACAGGCAAAGTTGTCCAGATCGCCTCAAACAACATGGCCACTGTTTTTTACATCAACAAACAGGGGGGCACTGCCTCGGTTCATCTGTGTCACATGTCTCTGCGCCTCTGGAAGTGTTGTCTTCGACATTCGATCTCCATATTGGCTATTCACATTCCAGGTGTTCAGAATATTGTTGCCGATCGTCTGAGTCGCTCTGCGCCCCATGACAACGAGTAGTCTCTGCACTCTCATTATCTTCGCCCGGTCTTCTTCAACTTCGGTTGCCCAACCATAGATGGCTTTGCAACTTTGGAAAATGCTCGATGTCCTTTCTTTTTTGCATGAGGCCCTCCGTCTGCCCAGTCCCTTGGGGATTCCTTCCTCCACAGATGGACCTGGACCCTATTTTACTTCTTCCCCCCGTTTCCTCTCATCTCCAGAGTTATTCAAAAGATTATGGCAGATGCCATCTCATGCATCCTCATCACACCACACCAACTGTGGTTTCCTCACCTCCTGCGGTTGTCCAGGGGCTGGTTCCTTCATCTCCCATGCATGCCAGATCTCCTCTCTTGGAATCGCAGCTGGATCCTCCACCACGATCCGGGATTTTTCAAGCTCATCGCTTGGAGGATCTAGAAGTAAACTTCCCACCTGCGGTATTGGAGGTCTTGCTCAATGCTCGAAAGCCTTCCACCCGCAACACCTATCGATCGAAATGGAGAAGGTTCCAGTCATATGCCTTACAACACTACTTTGACCCTGTCCAAGCTTCCTTATCAGATGTTTTCTCTTACATCATATCCTTAAAGAATACTCCTCTTTGAAAGTTCACCTTGCGGCTATTTTGGCACATCACCCTTTAATCGAGGGATCTACAGTGTTCTCCCACCGCCTCACAAGGTCCTTTCTTAGGGGCCTCATAAACCTGTGCCTGCCTCGAAAACCGATGGTGCTGTCCCGGAGCCTCTCCCTTGTCTTGACTCAACTGATGTCCAAGACGTTTGAGCCCATGGCTTCGATTGATTTTCGGCTCCTCTTGTGGAGATGGCATTTTTGATTGCTATCACAATGGCTCGCCGGGTAGGAGAGCTTGCTGCCTTCCGTGCAGATCTTCTGTATATGATTTTCCACAAGGATAAAGTTGTTATCAGACTAGACCCATCCTTTCTCCCTAAAGTGGTTTATGCCTTTCACCTGTCTCAGTCCTCTGTCCTTCCTACTTTCTTTCCAAACCTGGCTGACGCTCCGCAAAGAGCCTCACACTGCCTTGATGTCCGGAGAGCTCTCTCCTTTTATCTCCACTGCACGCAACCCTTTCGAAAGTCTCCAAGGCTTTTTGTTGTGTATGCCACCTGTGCAGGGGTGAGGCTATCTCTTCCCAGTGCTTGTCGAAGTGGGTGACCTCAGCCATAGCCCTTTGCTATGAGTTAGTACATCAACTCATACCTGCCTCGATCACTGCTCACTCCATGAGGGCAGTATCGACTTCGACTGCTTTCCTGGCTGGTGTCCCATTGGAAGACGTCTGTGCTGCTGCCACGTGGTCCTTCATGTCCCACTTTGACCTTCGTGTCCCACTATTCACTGGACGTTCGAGCTCTACAGGATGCTGCATTTGGCCAGGCAGTGCTGCGATCTCTCTTCACCTGATTCTTCTGCTTCTTCAGGTAGGGCCTGTAACCTGAAATTATAAGGCTGTGTCCTAACTTGTTTATTGTCTTTTTCAGCTGCCAGCTCCCTCCTCCATCTGGTTCAGCTCTTTTAATCACCCATGTGTGGAACTGCACAGAGACCACGACAAAGATAAACAGGTTGCTTACCTGTAACTGATGATCTTCAAGTGGTCATCTGTGCAGTACCACAATCCCACCCAGCCTTCCCCACTGCTGGCATCTCCTGATCACTTACCTTAGTTGATGGGACTTACCGGTAGCAGTCGAATGAACTGAGTGGGAGGCAGCATGCACAGTGTGTGCCTGCTCCTCAGGGTGGGAAGAGAGCCCGCCAAAAAGACTCCTGAGGCAAGCTCTGGAATTTTCTCCAGTTGAGGTCGTGCGCAGGTGCCCCACCCATGTGTGGTACTGCACAGATGACCACTCGAAGATAATCAGTTACAGGTAAGCAACCTACTTTCCCTGCTTTTAAAAAATTCTTAATTTCATTTATTTATAAAAGATATTGGCTTGGAGCTAGAATCTAAAACTAAACCCCCTTTTTGAAAATTTAGCTGATAGGCAGGTTCTTTGAGGAACACCCTTAAGATCGATCCAGGTGGGTAGCCATGTTGGTCTGAAGCCGTAGAACAAAGTTTGAGTTCAGTATCTGATGAAGTGTAGGTGTACACAAAAACTTATACCTAGAATTAAACTTTGTTGGTCTTATAGGTGCCACTGGATTAAATCTTTGTTCTTAAGATAGGTTGATCTCAGACATGTAAGGCTTTTTAAAGTTTCCTGCACAGAATTGTGCTGCAAAGTGATGAGCTTCACCATCATCCCTTTATGACATGCAGTAGCTAGGGTTCAGTTGAATGCTGCCCAGCACCACAGGAGTACCTTCCTGATGCCCCTCTGGCTGAGGCAAACTCCCTTAATCAAAAGATACTTTAAGGTGCTCACCAAGTTTTCCTGACCATCTAATTTTTACCATTTATTTGGTTTTGTTTTCAAAAAGAACTTTCCCAAAAAGTTATCTGACATCAACTCAAGTTCTTACTTATTCATTTATTTTCAAATGAGCAACCCTAAGTTGGGTGGTGAGTTACTTCTAGCAAAACTTGGGAGGAGTCCACACTGACCTCCCAAGTTGGTCAGCCTACTGCCTGCTTTATACCTGCCCGCCTCAGTTAGGATCTTACTAATCTACTGAGAGCCAGTTTGGTGTAGTGGTTAAGTGCATGGACTCTAATCTGGGAGAAGCGAGTTTGATTCCGCACTCCTCCACTTGCAGCTGCTGGATGAACTTGGGCAAGCAAAAGTTCTGTCAGAGCTGATCTCTCGACAGTTTTGGAAAGAGCCCCACCTACCTCACAGGGTGTCTGTTGTGGAGAGAGGAAGGGAAAGGAGTTTGTAAGCCTCTCTGAGACTCTGAGTGAATGGCGGGGTACAAATCCAATCTCCTCCTCCTCCTCCTCCTCTTCTTCTTTTGCTGCTGCTGCTGCTGCAAGGTCTGTTTAAATAAGCCTAAACTCCCTGATGCAGTGTGAGGCAGACAAGAAAAGGACTCTCCATGGTTAATTAGACGTTCCCCCCCCCCAAAAAAAAATTCCCGCTTGACCCCGAAGCAACCGGCTTATCCCATACTATAGTGCTTTATTCCTTTCCTGTGAGACTTCTTATATGTAACGTCTGTAAAGGCACCTCCACTGTCGAGTTCTGAAGTGACATGTGTTGTGTTGCCTTCATACCTTCCTTATTGTTCCCTGCGTATTTTCACTGCCACTAAAGTTTCTTGCCTTAGAATTCTTAGTGGGACCTGAAGAACAAGATGGCTTAGTTATAATTAGTAGAATGACAGAACAGTCAGCTTGGGGTGGCTCTGAGGTAAGAAAGGGATCCTTAGTCAAAACAGTTGTTTCCTCTTAAACACAAAAAGGGTTTATTTAGAAGTATAACACTGTAACGGTTTTGTTATAGTGTTCCAGACAGAACACACATTTCTCTCATACTTCACACTTTTTCCCCACTCAGCTCTACTGACTGTTTCTCTGCAAAGCCTCTCTGAACCAACCAGTCAACTGTGCCCCCTGCGGGTAATGACACCACACTTCAATCACCCATCCAACCACTCTCTTTCTTATTCTACAGGCCTGCATTTTAAACTACAACAACATACATATAAAACTCCACAGTAAAACATAGAAATAACACACACACAAAATGAGTTTAATAACTTCATCATTGTTTAACAGCTGAGTTAGTTAAATGATACCAGATTTGGTCTATGTCAGCTATTTGAAAGATTTGCCTGCAATTTTAATATTAGCATTGCCCCATATTGTCAGTAGTACATGTGTAAATGGGTCACATATCTGGGTTAACCCAATTTCTTTCCAGATTCTCCTGGTTGCCTGAATTGTTGGATAGTAGAAATTTGGGTCAAGATGTAGAATGGTATAGTACAGCCTGATCTCATCAGCTCTTGGATCGGTACTTTGGTCAGTACTTGGATGGAAGACCATCAAGGAACACTTTGCAGAGGAAGGCAATGGCAAACCAGCTCTGTTTAATCACTTGTTTTGAAAACTCTGTGGGGTCACCATAAGTCAGCTACAGCTTGATGGCTCATGCACACCACAAGTACACCCCCCCACACATACACAGGTTGCATAGATGATATGATCCCAATGACTCCTGGCCAGAGACAGAATAACATAAAGCTTTCCTATCTGTACCATGTGGAGTAAACAGAGCCCAAAGCTACTATTTTGCTTGTGCTATTAAAAAGGCCCTGTTAATAGGCCCTTAAATTAAGGAATTCATACCTTTCTTTTTCAGTTGGTAGCTGTGATATTTTGGTAGGCAACTGGGTCTTTCATTATCCCCTCAAATGAAGTTTTGAAAAAATGGGTTCAGTTTCGGGGATAAATGTAGGTAGGCCTCTAATGGTATAGATTTGTTTGTAAAAATATTGTGTCTGAGTAGAACCATTCTAGGTTTTTTTGAAAATAGAACATATTTGCAATTTTTTAAAAAGAACTAGTTACAGACAAGATTTCAGCAATACAAATTACTAATAGCTGAAAGCCCTTGGTCCATAAGGAATCTCTCCTTCCTCATTACTCCAGTCTATGGGCAAATGTTATAATTTTTGCTTTGCAGTAGTTTGTCATTTTACTAAATGGTATTGTTTCTAGATTATTTAGAATTTATAATTGACTGAGTCTTTATTCCCAAGGCCATATTTTGATCCCAAAAAGTTAGTCTTTATGGCATGAATAAGTTATGTGTTTCTTTTGTATGTCATTTTCAGGATGCCGAAGATAAACTTGCTGAGGTCAATAAGGAGTTAAATCATCTGCATGCTAAGTGTGCAGATAGAGATTCTCTAATAGATACTTTAAAAGTGGAATTGCAGAATGTATTACACTGCTGGGAGAAGGAGAAAGTGCATGCCACAGAATCTGAAAATGAAATCCAGAGGCTTACGCAGGCTTACCAGAAGGATATGGAGGTATTACCAGAGACACGATGACTGTCAAAAAGAATCTTTAATCTTAGCTTCTTATATTTACATATATCAGATGGTTATTCTGTAGATGTAGATCCCCTCCCCAATACCATCATTTTAAATCAGTGCTTTGCAATAGCTATGTACAATTAATGTAAAAAAATTAATGTCATTCTTCCCCTTTAATAAGAATAAAAACAACTATAGCTGCTTGAACCCATCTGGCTTTTTAAATTATGATGCTCTTGAGAAGACCATAGAGACATAAGTGTATTTAAAGAAACATGCCTAGGGATTTTTTAGCTGCTGCTTAGCTGGATGTAAACATACACATTTGGAATATATCTGCATTTGGAGTAGGTTAGCTTTCTAATCCCTTGGCAGTAATTTATATTAACTGTTTCAAATGACAACAAAAAGTGTAACAGCGAGTAGAATCCAAACCATTTTACTACACCTACCAGTGAATTAGAATTCATTTCCTCTTCTTGGGATTGCAGCTGATTATGGTATGTTGGGCAATAATTGTTTCATGAAGTGTTATTTTGAAAGATGCTTTCTACCAAACTGTTTATCTTATTTTAAAAATACATGTTTTGTTTGCATTCAGGGTTTTGTTTTTCTTTGCACACACAATTTTTTCTGCTCTAGGTATATCCACTGTATTATTCTTTATCTAAATTATACTGCATATTGAGCTCATTACTCTAACAAATATGAGCAGGAATGCCAAGTGAGTAAAAAGGAAACATTCTTTCCACCCTTTTTGCAGTCTGGGATTTAAATTGTGTCCATATGAATCAGTTGGAATTGTTCTGCTCATCAGATAGTGATTAAAGTAGAGGAAACTAGAAGCCTGACTATATTGTAAAGTCAGCATGTCTACAATATTGTGGTTGGGCTCTACATGTATGGATTGATTCTGGGTCCTTGGATTCTTTTTTCCAAGCCAAATGGATGATTACCATGCTTGGTTTATCACAGCCCAAGCAAAAAGGACACCATGGCGACAGATTAAATTAACAAGGGGGGAAGCAAGAGATTGGGTGGAAACGCTTTTGTTAATACATTGTTGGTTGTTTCTCATGAGATATTTAAACACAAGAGTATGGTTGGAAAAATCACAATAGTAATTCCACTCTTAATGCCTTCATAAGATCTGTTTGGAAATGCCTTGCATTGGACTGTATAAAATGCATATTAAACACAGTAGAAGTCTTTTTCGTTGAGTTTTAGATCCTCTGTAGTGTGTTTTGGACCAGGACTCCAGTTTTAGGACTTGGACCTGGGTTTTTTTTTTTAAAAAAAACTTCATTGAGAGAAACAATGCTGGATGGGCTCCTTCCCTCCTTTGTAAATATCTAAAAGAATTATTAGTCTCGGGGTCCTCAACATGGCACCCATGAGCATCCTGTCACCCACTGACACCTTCCCTGGCACCCACCAAGTGGATGGGGTCAGGTGGGACTTTTGCCACTGGAGATCTGATTAGCTGTGTAGTTTTTAAAAAGTTTTCAGCGGCAGTTGTCGCCACAACATAAGGATAAATCACTGTGTGGCTGCAGATAAGCTGTGTGTATGCTGAAAAATATTTTTATGCAATACGTTCATTTAAAAAGGCATCCTGTAAACAGTGCTTTTGCCTGAAATTTTGGAAGAATTACTATTATAATCATGCATAACCTCATTCTGTGACATTTTGTAGTTGGCGCCACTTCATGTAGCAGTCATTTTGTGATTGGTGCCCACTAACTTATGTCAGGTGCCTGCAGGCTCAGCAAGGTTGGTGACCCCTTGTTTAGTCTACCTAGTGATCTCTATAGCTAATGATGGGCCATTTCATTTTCTAGGAGGAACTGAGACTGTACATTATGAACTGAATAAAGTAAAAAGAATTCATGTTTGACAGTAGATAAGGATATAGATGCAAGGGGGCTGTCTTCCCACTGCTCATCCAACTGCCTGAGCCTAGTGAGAAGGGAGCCCAGTGGCCGTGGAGTGGAAGGGAATGGGTTTGGTAAAGAAGAAAAAGAAGAGATTGGATTTATATCCCGCCCTTCACTACCCAAAGGTCTCTCAGAGCGGCTTACAAACTTCTTTCCCTTCCCCTCCCCACAACAGACACCCTGTGAGGTAGGTGGGGCTGAGAGAACTCTGATAGAAACTGCTCTTTTTCAAGAACAGCTGTGCCAGAATTATGGCTTGGCCAAGGTCATCCAGCCAGGTGCAAGTGGAGGAGTGGGGAATCAACCCCAGTTCTCCCAGATTAGAGTCCGTGCACTTAACCACTACACCAAACAAGCAGCCTTGTCGTCCTCTCTACAATGCTTGTCCTGTAAACTTAGGAGCAAGGAGCCAACGCTTCTTCATTGGTATGAAGGTGGCTATGCAAAACATACTTGTCCTATTTGGGCTTCTGGCCTCCCAGATAAGGACACCCCCACCCCAAGTGTAGAATTGGCTTCTTTGGCAGCTGTAACTGGTTCCTGTCCAGATCCCTTTCCCACCCCCCAGGCCCATAGCTATGGTGGGGCTTATGGGGGCTTTGCCCCCTTTCTTAATTTATCTTGTAAATTATTTTTTCAGTCATTTAAAAGGCATGCACTCCTTTAAGCAAAGTGGGGTGCTGTAGTTGACTAATTCCTGCACTGAGCAAGGGGGTTGGAGTAGACGACCTCTATGATCCCTTCTAACTCTGTGTCAAGAAACTGGTCTCCTTTAAAAGAGTTTTTCTGCCTAAGTGTTAGCTTTTTTTACTATAGAAGTCCACCTGCCAGCTTGTTATCAGAATTGTTGCTTAGGCTGGCAGAAGTGATTAACTTGCAGCAGCTGAGAACTGTCATCTAAAGTGGTTGACAGCTTGCAGTTTAGAGATCTGTCCTGGTAACAGCTTTTTATTGGCTAAATGGCTTTTCTTTCTGCACTGAGAACTTCAGCCCCACCAGAAAAAAAAAATGCCCCACAAGCCACAAAATCAGGCCCGCTCCCTCCCCTTGTTGCTATCTCTCAGCTGTGTGCAGATGACAAGCTCTTAAAGGGCCACACCATTGTTGCTGCCTTCTGAGACAGCAACTATCTTTCCCCCCTTTCCACAACTTCAGGGCCATGGTCTTTGCCCTACCACACGATGGATTTCTTGTAAAGAAGTTTATAGTTGGCTATCTTATGTGTCTATATGTACTTATGCATGGCACAACATATTTGAAGGATGTATGTCTCAGAGCCAAACTAGTCATTAGCGTAAACATGATGCTGCACTTGAAAAAAATGGTTACTTCCTCCCCTTATGTAATGTCTAGTACAACTTAATGTAATGTTTAGCTTGGCCCTTATACAAAAATCTAATATGACCCTTTTTCTTTTGCACGAGACAACTGCAGTTACTTTCCCATTAATAGCTACAAAATATTTGGCTGTGATCCACATAACAATTGAAGGACTGATCCTGCATTCCTTTTAAACAATCAGCATTCTGACCCTGAACCAAAGATTAAAAAGCAAGCTCCCTGGCTAATAGACTGTCTACAGGATCAGTCCTTGTGTGTATGTATAATGGGCAATTATTGACTAATGATTTGAGCATAGGTCATATATTCCTTTGAAACACATGCATTATTGTTTACATGACACATTTCATTGGACTCGAGCAATACTTGCTGTTAACTCTCTCTTTGTCTCTCCCCTCTCCCTACCCCCCTCTTTTAAAATCCCGTCTCGTAGGAGAAGCTAACCTTCCTCCATACCTTATATCAGCACTTGGTAGCCGGCTGCGTGCTTCTGAAACAACCAGAAGGCATGCTGGATAAATTCTCCTGGCCAGAGCTTTGCACAGTCTTGCAGGAGAATGTTGATGCCCTGATCTCAGACCTCAACAAGGCTAATGAGAAGGTACTGTCCTCAGGCGCCAGCTGCCTCTATTAAATCCAGTGACATTTGTCCACATCGTGGTATCGTTAAAAAGGACTGACATTCATCTTATTTCAAAAAGAATTTGGGTGTTAATAATTCAATACTGTTAATTACGACTTGTCTACAGCTCAGTTTGATGCCATTGCTGTGGGCATGTAAATGTGACTGAAGTCTGTATGAAGTCTCCAAGCTCCAGCTTCTGTGCAGGACTTGCTAATACTACTAGCCAGTGTTAGCCACAGGGACCTAATTAAAAGAAAATAAATTAATCTTACTGATGAAGCTATTCAAAGAACTTAGTCATTTACACTAATAAACCAACTCTTTATCTCAGCATAAAACAGAAACAAAATGCACTGACTCAAGGACAGTCATCTTTAAAACATTTGCTTGTGAATAGGAGGAATTATTTGGAGGAGCGGGGAAAAGGGCTCCCAAGAAATGGCAGTTGCTCTTTGATATTTATGTTTGTAAATATAATATGGAGCGTAGTTTATAAATACAACATGAATTTTAAAAAGATAAATATTTTCTTCAAGGGAGGCCCAACAGTAACATTTCTTAGTATGTCATAAGATTCAGTCTTGTCAACATTAAAGAAAGAAAACCATGTTTATTATGAGAAAGTAGCACCACAGCCCAACTTGTAATGCTGTGGCAGAAAGAGTTTGCACCATGGGTGATTGATAGGGTTTGCATTGTGTTTTGTAGTCAAGTAGCAAGGTGCCAGATTTTTTGCTCAACTTCCATTTGCTCTTCAAGGGCAAGAAGGGGAAAACATTCATGAATAGCTGGAGCGATTCTTAATCTCAAGTTCAGAAAACACAGTTGCATAACAGTGTTAATTTTGAGGTTGTCCAGCTAGCCAACAAAATGCACTAATGTTTGGAAATTTTTTTTTTTAAGATTTAGGTATTACAAATTGGTAGAACATACTACAGGTACTTCTGTTCAAGATGGTCACCAACATGTATATTGCTAACAGATCCCTGATGGTCTGGCTGAGCAGAGTTACCCCCATGTAAGCCCACTGACCCACGTAAGCCCAATGGGAACAGTATAAATGCAGCCATGTGTTGGGCTTGATTGAAGTTGGAGTTACTGCCAAATGTGAACCAACTGCAGTTGATCCATAAACTGCAACTATGTTGGGTACAGCTTCCTAAATGGGACTTTACAGCACATTGAAAGTAGGCTGGATGGGAAGGCACTACCACCATTTTTAAGATAATGGATGGAGAGCTGCTTTACTCTCCCATTCAGACAGTGCAAGGAATCTTATTTGCCCTTAAGCACTCTGATAAAAATCCCTGTTACTCCTTTGTCAATTTGTATGTCTAGACCCAAGTATGGAATTAAAGAGGGAACAATATAATTTTCATTTAGGTAGGTACTGGCTTGGATCCCAACTAGAATGTCTATAAGTATGTTGGATAGCCATGAAACTGCTCCCCTCTTCAAATGGGAGAGCTCTGATTCCCCTCCACTTATTCCTGGGGGACTCTCTGTGTCTCAGGATCATCTTTTTGGGGGCTATTTTGGACTGCCACAGGACAGGGCGATAGTGGAAATCACCCTCTGTACCTGCTGAAATTGTAGACAGGTTCCAAGCCTATGTATCCAAACTCTTCTTGATAGAATAAACATTTTTCTCACAAGTTGTATAAAATGTAATAAAATTGTTCTAGATTCTACTTTTAACAAGTACAGCATATGCCTACTTGTGTTCACCTGATACACATCTCCTTTTAACTTCCGCTGCGCTTGATTCGCTGAAGCTTCAGCTTGTGACTACAGTCCTGAATCTGTTGAAATATACTATAAAATAAAGCAAGCTTTCCAGACCAAACACTTTAAAACTTTCTTCATATCCTCAACAAATCAGAATATAGCATGCATGCCAATACTCCTTCTCTGAAAACAATAACATAACTTTTAAATGTGAACATTTTAACAGGATACTTTAGTTAGCAGGGCAATCATTTCAGCTTGTGAGGTGCTTGATACTTGAAGGCTTTCTGAAATCAGAAGGGACGGTAAATCCCAGATTTTATTGAGCTTTTCAGAGCACTCGCATGTCAACTGTTTCAGAAATCTGATTACTCCTGTATTGTCTGCTTCACAAACTTGGATTGCTGGCTTCTGTCAATTAGTGCTTAATTTCCCTCTACGTTGGTTTAATCAGCCTCAAGACCTTAAAACATGGTTCCAAGCACCCCCATTTAAAGTAGGACTGAAAACGCCCTTTAAAAAGGAGTTAACTGAAGGACTTTCTTGATGCCAATCATACAGATATCTCACCTTGAATATGTTTGTAAGAACAAGTCAGATGCCATGAAGGCGCTTCAGCAGACTCAAGAAGACACATTTAACAAAGTAGTTGAGCAGATGAAAGCACAAGAAAGCTGTTGGCTGAAGCAGAAGAAAGAATTGGAACAGCAATATTCTGGACTCCTCGGGGAAGTTCACGCAAGGGCACAGGTACAATATTTCTGCCAGGAAACCATAAACTTCTAAATGTATTCTTTAAATATTTAGGATATTATTTCAGTGGTTTTGTTTCCAAACCAATTTTAAATTGCTTGGGAATTTCAGTATGCTTAAAGAAATGATTTTTTTTACCATTAACTTTTACTTTCTTGAGGAAGTGTATGAATTTGTGTGAAGGCATTCCAGAACTTCTATGACTTAATTGGATCCTGCAGTTGTATTTCCCATTTTAATGCCATGTAAAAGTTACCTACAGAGTGCAAACATTGGTTTCTTTGTATTATTACACTCAGTACCAGATGCTTTTCCCTCATGATGACTACTCTTCCTATGGCTTTGTAGAATTAAAGTTATTGAAATTCAGTTTATGCTAAACCTTTGTGTCTGGCATAGGTTTCTTGGCAAGTCAGTGGCAGTAATAAAGAGCACTTGAACCGTAGAAATCTCTACTTTTCTGAGTGAGGCAGCAAGATGAATTAGTCTGATACACACTATTTATTCTAGCTAGAGGTGGTGGCAGTGTCTTCCACTACATATCTCCTGAGATTAGGAGCAATGAAAGGCCACTTTGCAGTCCTTGTCCTGGTATTTGCAGTCCTTGTCCTGAAGTGCCAAGGACCAGCCAGCATGATCTCTCTGTATTGATACCTGTGACAAGAATTCATTTGTGATCTTCTGTTTAGCTTGTAGTGTTTATAGTTCTTCTGGATCACTGAAGAAATTTGATAGAGATCCTTTTTTTCTCGTAGACAAAAAGTATAGGTACACCCTGTATAACATCAGCATGGTCTATCTTCCTCTTTCCAGGTGGCTGTCACTTGTCTCTGCCCTTCTCCTCTGTATGTCGGAAGTGGCTAGACCATGGTTCTTTTTTTGGAGGGGGGGGGGAAACAAAGCTATTGGGAGGTCTACCTGTCAGTTTTTTCCAGGCCTAGATGGTTTATCCAAAGCATAATACAGCCCAGTCTTATCTATTCTTCATCCTCACCCTGTGCCGTCTTTGTTTCATCTTTCTGAACTGTAATTGAGATACTGCTGATGCTCTTTCTTCATTTTCCTCCTAGTTTTAAAGGGGAAAGAACAAATTTCTGTGTGACTTTACCTGTGGGGTTGGTAAGGTTCATGAGAAAAAGATCTGTCTGATATAGATTTAAGTAGGAGGGATTCTGAGGGAAGGTGTTGGCCCTGCTTTGTTTTGTCTCATTAGAAGTGAGAAATTGCTTTGAGATTCATTTAAGCAACGCACTTCTGAAATGCCTTAATTCGGGTGTTTAGAAAAAGTTTGTAGCCTGGCCTCCCTTGTCAACAGTGGCATGCAGGTGGGAGAGTCGTGTGTTTGAATGCTTCATGTCAAAAGCTCCCTATACTATTTGGAAGGCGTATAAGTTTCTGTTCTAGCCTTCTCCTGATGTGCTAGTTTTTAATAGATGTTGAATTTTTGATACGGGAAAGCATTCACACCTTACATTTCCTTACCTTGGTACTGAAGTGGTGCAGTCTCTAATGTAGGCAATAGGTTAAGCTTCTTAGAGAAAATGGTCCAGGGTCATAAATTCCAGTAAATAGTACTCATCATTATGGGAATATAAAATTTATTTATGTATGTATTCTTGAATGTCTTAGAATGTTAAAAGCTATCTGTAGAGAAAGATGAATCTAAAATGTTCACCTTTACTTCTTTCTAACAAGCTTTCCCTTTTCACCTGATCAAGCATTGATTCCATCTGTGTTTACATCACCCACCCTACTTTCTCTGAATCCTTCTTGTCTTTTTGCTTATATTCACTGTGCAGCATGACAACCTAGTTTACACTTCATGGCATGCAGGTAGCATAGTTGTTATACCCCTGCTGACAAAGAACTAACTAATAAAGATGCTTGCTATGTGGCATGGTAGGTACGAGTTTAAAAATAAGAGCTACAGTTTGTATTCTGTGTTCAAAGAGTTATGTCCTTGTCTGATGTCAGAGTTCCTTTGAACTCTAGTGCTCCTCCCGATTCCAAGTACATATTGAGAAGGTACATCAATCTTGGTGTGAAATACAAACTGTACTCTAGGGTTCATTAGTGCCTTTCAAACTTCCTGATGCAGGGCCCAATTCTAAACTTATTCTATGTTTTGGGACGCACTTGCAAGTAACTCTGTGCTGCTGTCCCAGTCCCCATCATGAGATGAAATAATCTTCTGTTAACACTGAAGAACTTTATAATTTGGGTTTTATATTTTAATATTTATAAATATTAATAATTACTGAGCAAAGGGCTAATTTCATGATCATATTGCACATTAGGCAGAGGCAAATTCAGATTTTGTTTGCACATTTGACACTTCCCTCCTGGCCTCACAGCCTCCTGGCAAGAGAGTTGCAACCCCTTTTGGATCAAAGCCCATAGTTTGAGAACTGCTGATAATAGTGGTTGAGTGCTTGAAATCCATTTCTGCTATGTACTCACTGAAACAATGCAATTCTGTCCAGAGTGGCAACCTTCTAAGTCCATTGACTTTGGTGGACTTAGGGTATAACTCTGTTTAGGATTGTACAGTAAGTGGCCTTAGCCCTGTCAATCAGGGTGGAGTCTACCTTACAGGGCACATGAAGTGTTG